TTTTAATCTAGAAAATTAGTAAATTCATATGGAATTAATTCCTACGATTTGTATTGAGTATAGTGAATTGTTTATGACTAGATTTGAAGATTTCGGACACGAATTCGCGAGGCAAAGGTTTATTGGATTCTTGAATTTGGTTGCAAGCGAGGTAAGTGTCATGGTTAACCTTGACTTGAGGGAGTATGACTTATTTGTCTATTTGCTACATGATTTAATGTCCGAAAATAACGTATATGTGAGGTGACGAGTACTTATGCGATGTGGTTAAGTCAAAGCATGCGGGTGAAATTTGTTTATTGTGAATAATTATCTATTTAATTAAGATATTCCTGCTTAAGTTTGTTATTGATTATGTGATCATTATTCGTGAAATTATTATTCATTTAATTATTGTTGAATATTTTGGAAGGTGAAGTCGGTATTTTGAAATTGAATTGATTGATAAGTGTATATCCCCACACTTAAATACTCTTTCGAATTTATATTATTGTTTTCATGGTAAGGAAGAGTGTAAAAGCATTAAGGGTGTTGCTGTGCCATTTGTGAGTGTAAAAGCACGAAGGATGTTGCCGTGTCATTTGTGAGTATAAAAGCACGAAGGGTGTTGCCGTGCCATTTGTGAGTGTAAAAGTACGAAGGGTATTGCCGTGTCATTTGTGAGTGTAAAAGCACGAAGAGTATTACCGTGTCATTATTTGTGAGTGTAAAAGCACGAAGAGTATTACCGTGTCATTATTTGTGAGTGTAAACGCACGAAGGGTGATGCCGTGTCAAATGAGAGTAAAAGCACGAAGGGTGGTGCCGTACCATTTCCATATTATCATTTGCCCATTTTATTGTTGATAAATTAATTGGCTGCTAAGTGACACTTTTCTTGCTGAAATTATATTATATCCTTCCCCTTCGCATGTTCCCTCCCAATTTGTAAATTGTTATTTGTTATATTATTGTAACTTTGTGTTTGTATATACTTGTACAGGTCGTTTACATACGTATCTTGTCATAGCCTCGTCACTACTTTGTCGAGGCTAGACTCTGCACTTACCAGTACATGGGGTCGGTTGTACTGATACTACACTCTGCACTTCTTGTGCAGATTTCGGAGTTGGTCCCAGCGACGTACTGTAGATTTGCCCCGAGACAGCTACCAGTGGAGACTTGAGGTATAACTGCATAGTGTTCGCAGTTCTGAAGTCCCCTTCTATATTATCTCAGTTGTGTATTATATTTCAAACAACTTGAATTTTATTCAAACCTTTATTTGTATTATTCTAGAAGCTCGTGCACTTGTGACTCCAGTTCTGGGATAGTATTTAGACATCACTATCATTATAGATTATTTACTACATTACAGACCTTATTTCCGCATTTGTCTCTTTGTTATTAATTAGTTTAAAATTATTTTAAAATAGCTAATATTATTCTAACGTTGGCTTGCCTAGCAAGTGAAATGTTAGGCGCCATCACGGCCCCGAAGGTGGAAATTTCGGGGCGTGACACACACACACACACACATATATATATATATATATATACACACACACACACACACGTTTCGTTGTACTACTTTAACTATATATATAGCATATTATAGTATATGTTAGTGTATTTATTATTTGTATTACAACATATACTATAACGGATTACATTTATATTATTTAGATAGTAAATATTAATGTGATTCAAATTATATAGTTAAAGTAGTACAACGAAACGTGTGTGTATATATATATATCGACCTAATAATGCATGACATATATTAATCGATATAGGTCGATATGTTTTATTTTTAATATTAATTGATATAGGTGAAAACGTTTTGTTTTTAATATTCATCTATGCATTTAAGTTATAAGTCGATGAATCAATTTACAAAANTACACACACACACACACATCGTTGTACTACTTTAACTATATATAGCTTGTTATAGTATATGTTATTATATTCATTAAAGTGTTAACGGATTACATTTATAGTATTTAGATAATAAATATTAAAGTGATTCAAAAGTTTGACCATGTTTGACCTAATAACCGACCAACTTTGGTTGGTTATTTTCCAGAAAATAAAATATACCAACCAAAGTTGGTCGGTAAATGCTTCCCCTGCAATAACCGACCAACTTTGGTCGGTAATCTTAAATATAAATTATTTTAATTTTATAAAATATTTTAAATAATAATATAATTATTAAAATTTAAAAAATTGGGTCCACATTACGGACCAAAGTTGGTCAGTAATCAAAAAGTTGCTTTGACTAAGCAAGTCTGACCATTTCGGTCAACTTTTTGACCATAATACCGACCAACTTTGGTCGGTATTTAATTTTTAAAAAATATAAAATATTTTTTTTGTAGTTTCCGTCCGTGTTGGACGGGTTTTTGGTCGCTTTTTTTGACCGACCAACGTTGGTCGGTATGGCTTGGTCGGTTTTTCCATGATTTCTAGGAGAGAGCCTAAAAAACCGCAGGAATTACTTATAGTATGCCTAATTTGATCTATGTAAAATATAGTAAGAAAATATGCTATAAACAATAAATATACACCGTTGGTGTCCAAATTCTTTAAACTGTCTGTTTATATGAATTAAATCTGCATATACGTAACATGATTTTAATGGTAAAATATTGTAAAGGCAGGTTATGTTTGCCAACAGAAAAGAAAAAGTCGAACTTCTTGAAGCTTTGGTAGTTAGTGACAAAAACGCCACTACCCCTAACTACGTATATTCCCAGGTTTGTCCTACCTCCTCTTACTCCTTTTCCTTTTTTTATGCATGCGATGGGTTAGAGGACTTTTTCAAACTCTTAACTTTAATTCACTTTAATTCCCTCTCCGCATTTGGATTTTTTAAGACACATTATTGGTCAAATTTAATTTGATGAATTAATGTGGGTAAATTGCCAAAAATCAGAGTTAATAATTTATTCCAGAGGCGGATCCATATTTTTAAGTTTATGAGTTCCTACAATGAACTTAAGTTAATATACAATGATACTAGGTTCCAAGCTAAAAGTTCTTATATAGTATTTAATAAATTCTTTAGTACAAAATAAGATCTAGGCAAAAGTTAATGGGTTCACATAAACTCATAACTTTTTTACTATATCCGCCCCTCATTCCATGCCAAGTTGGTGTGGTGAATTACTCATGCATTTAACTTTGTTGACTAAATTAGAGTATACTACGCTTAATTATTTCGAATGTCCTCTCATTTTCTGAACTTTTCTTGAAATTGAAAAAATCCACAAACGTTTCTGTTGATGTACAAAAATGTTGGTGTTCCATGATATTCATATAGTACCATTCATTAGTCGAGACAGCTTTCCAAATTTGAGTAAATACTTTGATACTCCCCTTTGTTTACTCTTTGACGCAGAGGATTTACCTTTTATATGGAGACGAAGACAAGATTTTTAATATGACATTTTCTGATATCATCAAAGAGTAAGTTCTCCCGCCTTGTAAGTTTACTTAGACCCCTAGCTGCTTTAGGGCTGCAAATTTTGAAGTGCCTGTGTTTTGAATTAAAAAATATTTGTATTGATCAAATGATTCAAATCTATCATATTTATATCTGATTAGAATCATTTTTTGGGTACAAATGATTGCAGGAAGTTGGAAAATGCGACACTCAAGTATATAAAAGAGGCAGGACATATAGTTCAATTGGAACGACCCTGCACTTACAATCATTGTCTCAAGAAATTTCTTTCATCCTCAAGTGGCCCTTGGACTTATGAATCTATCATAATACTCCTCCATTTATGTGAACCTATTTCCTTTTTAGTCCATGCTAAAAAGAATGACATCTTTCCTTATTTGGAAACAATTTACCTTTATGCAATGATTTATAGCCACAAAAAATATATGTACCTCATTTTACACCACAAATTCAAAAATCTTCTCTTTTTTCTTAAATTTCGTGTCCGGTCAAAAGGGTTCACATAAATTGAAACGGAGGGAGTAATAAATCTAACCTTTATTCAAGTACAATTATGTATTGTCGTCGTTTGGTATACTTCCAAACTTCTTCTGTTGCACTATTAAAACACACTTTTATATTTGTTTGATCAAACTTGATCTAATCTTAGTTTAATATAATGTGTATGCGATTTTTGTTTGGCAATAAGTAGATTTTATTTGGATTTGACTCAATTCGATCTAATGATCAGGAAACTTATTTACTCTTGATTAAGTTCTTTACAATATAATTTGCATGTTGCTATATGTTTGTACTACAAATATATCGTAACATATGCTAAATCCATTTCGTACAAGGATTTCATGTAAAGTGGAGTAATAAATATCAAGCATGTATGTTCAGAAATGCAATAATGCAATAATACTAGATAAAAAGTCATGACAAGTGGATACGTTCTTTCATGATCTCTCTATCTTTGCCGTTCCTAAATCCTAATCCTATCTGATTTGGATAATATAGAGATAGAGATAGAGATAGTGATAGTATATATATTTCATAGGTATGGAGAAGAGCTGAAGGGAGTAACATATACCAAATCAGTCACATCAATGCAATCATCGTGGTATCTATTGCAAATCAACTTTTTGTGTCTTTTTCCACTTCGCTTTAATTTGGCTTCCAAAGCAATATATAATCATGAGAACGTACTTACAATTGTACAAATAACGTGAACACTTTCTTTATCATTTCCAAATATTATAATCATGATTCTTAAATGTGAGTAGGTACTTCAACAATATTTGACTGGGTATAAATTAAAAAGGATTAAAAATTCACATCAAAGGTACCATTAGAACGTGTAGTGATCTTAGATTTGCCATAGTAATATTTTTATGATTATATATAAGAGCATGTCACTCAAAATAAAATAAAATAAAATAAGAAGATTTGATTCTTTTGTAAGAAACTAAAAAGAAAAGAGTATAAAAAATGGACAGGAACAAAGGGTATAATCCAAGAACTAACTCAGTTCTATTTGCGATAAACAAAATCATAAAACCCTAGAAGAAAACATGGCGGTACTCGACATTTTATGAGGTAAATATGCTAATTTCTTTTGAAGATTGAAACACTGAAACAACTATTGTACAGGATAGAATGACATGAGAGATTCATACGATTCGATAATACATAAGATAATGTCGTAGTACAATGCAATAAAACATATAGGAATTAAAGTACCAGACAACACTATTTAACAAAAGGAGAAGGTACAAATTTCCACAGTAATTTTAAGGACATCATCTTTCTTTCATACACTTGCCTTGCTAGGTAACGATATCCAGCTTAATATCTTCTTATTAACATCATCACTAGTGCAGGTTCAGATACCTCAGAAGCCTATTCAAGAATTACAAAAGAAAGTAATATTAGCCAACATTTAAAGTATCCATCAAAGAGAGAAAGACTCAAATGGTTTAAGTCACTACGTGCTTAATAATGAAACCAGTTTGAATATTTTACATGCAAATGGCGAGGATCATAATAAAGAACATAGGAGTACTTCTTTAACTTCTTGTCAGGATATTTACGGTGCTTTCTATAGAGGCAGGGCGGACCTAGAGCATTGCCTACGGGTTTTCGGGAACCCAATAACTTTTGTGTAGACCCAGTATTTATATTAAAAAATTCACTAAATATTTATAAATATCTAACTGTGAACCCAGATATTATTACATATTAATTTAAAATTACGGTAGGAACCCATAAGCTTCAAATCCTGGATCCGCCTCTGTATATAGGTAAGTTCTATTAGAAGTTTAATATGTATTAGTTCTATTATTCAGATATAGTTAATCACTTCGGATAGGATTTTACTCTCTCAAAGGTATCCTAGGCATACTAGACCTATTGTATCAACCGTGTGTTGAAAGAGGATTAATCCTCTAACGATTAGAGTTGCTAAACTAAAAATTTTTAATGTATTACATTAACAACTAATGGACTTTATATTAATCATCAATTAATTAGTATTGGAGACACTGTTTTTTTGTTTTTAATGTCAAGAATTGAAGGTATTTTAATTGGAATAGGGTAGATAGGGATACATGCAGTATCTTTCAAACTTGTGGCGCGCCACTCCATCTCTTTTGGCCATTTTTTATTTCTTCTACCCCGGCTATTTGTTTATGAAAATTTGTAATTGAATCTCGAAAAATAAGGCAAAGGTTTAAGTTTTATGCACGAACAATATAAGAAGTGATTACAAAATTAGGTTAATTAAAAGAAAATTACAGATAATTTTATTTAGTAAGCATTTATGTGTAGCCTAAAATAAATTAACATGTTGATGGTGCAAAACCTAAATGAATGGATTAGGTTTTAGTATATATAGTACTAATTGTTGAACTGTGTTGCTTATCTAATTTAAAATCATAAATTATTTCGCACTTTTATTTACTTAATTACGTATTTAACACTAGTTTAATACGTACCTTTGTTCTTCATCGGCTGCAACTCCAATGGTGCCACCATTCCTGTAAGTAGGAAGAGGAACAAGACCAGATTCAATGCGCCTGAGATCCTCAATAAGGATTTCATAGTGTCGCTTGACTTCGTCGACCGATTTTCCGCCTCCTACAGCCCTAGCCACATTTTGCCAGCGGTCAGGAGTGTCCTTATCGAAATGCGCTAAAGCCCTTTCGAACAACTTGTTTTGCTGCGGAGTCCATGAATTTCTAATAGAGTTTAATGCCATATTATTGAGTTGTAGAAGTTTGTAAAATAATGTAAAAAAAAAAGGAAGGAATAGGGTTATGGGTGATTGAAAAAAGGATGGCCAATTTTGATGCTAATAAAGAGGTGAGGAATTACGAGGGGTTAAAGGCGGAATAGAGCCAATTGGAGAAGAATCTAAATTTGGCTTAAAGTCGGGAGAGAGTGATGACTCGTCTCCTTTGGAACCACAAGAGCTACCACAGTGCAGTGGACGAGAATCTCTCTCTCTTTCTCTCTCTTCGGACTAAGTTAAGTTTCTCCAACGTAAATCATAGTTCGTTGTTGCAGTAAAAATACCAATACGAAGGAATGATCCAAGTGAAGCTGTGGAATCGTTCTGATCCTGGGATACATCCATACATTCTTATGCACGTGTGGAGCCCTGCATTTTCTTGGGATCTTAATTTAATATATAATTGCTTTTTCCTTTTTTGTTTCTCACCCATTGTTATTTAAAGGCGGTTAAGGATTTTTTTTCTCTCCCTAAGTGTGTGTTGGAGTTTTATCGGTTAAGTGAGGTGAATGAGAAATGAAAGGAAATAAAACTTTGAAAGATTCTTTTACAAAGGAACTTTATCCCATGTTAGAGGAGGGGAGGACATGAAAGTTCGTTGAATATAAATATAAATACACTTAACTCTTAAAAAGTTGAAAAGAAGCAAACCTCAATAATAGAAAGATAACCGTGGGCAGCCGATTTTGGGGCGGGTAGCCATGCCTGAAATCTATAAAAATTTACAAATTTACCCACTTGAACAACTTTAAACATACCCAATCAAAGTTGAAAAAATTTGTGCATGAATTTTGACAGTAGAGTTCGAATATATATAAATTTGGCTGAATTGCCTTTACTTTTTAATAATGAATTTTCATATATTTTATTACGTGTCAGACATAAGCCATTAATCTTCTGCGGTCATGGCAGTATCTGAAGATCTAGCAATGGCCATTGCCTTATAAATGGGGTGGATGGGTGAGAAGACTTAAATTTTGCGAATAGTAAAAATTTGTTTTGGAGAGATTCGAAGAAAAAATGAACGTCCCAGGGCGTGCAATGTACTGGCAATACTGCATGCCTATACAGTTTTAATTCATTCGACTCTGATAACATTGGGAATTGCTCTTTCGGTTCTATTCTGCACTGAGAAACGTTCCAAAAGGCTTGTAGCTGGCCACCTGAATTAATTGCATGCATTTTTTCTCTATATATTAATTTGTTTTGTGCTTTGTGTTACCACTTGCCACTGCGTACTAGATAGTTTCGATGACTTGAATCTGGTGGCTATTTATAGGCTATGGTTTTCGTAACCTTGAATTTCGTCAAGGGATATTAACTAGAGCATTCTCCATTGCTGTTAAAATTTCATTTTCACAGTAGTGAAACACCGTTAAATAACATAAAAGATGCACAATCAATAAAGCGTACATCTATGATTATTCCAGAAGGAATGAAACTTATAAGGAGTCGTTTAGTTTGAGTATAGAAAAAATTAATCCCAATATTAAAAAATACGTATAGTTTTTAGTTAAGGTATATGAATAATTAACCTCAGCAAATTTCGCATAGGATAATGCAGTGTTGGGTTGAACGTGTTAAATAATACTCGCATTAATTGAATTGCAGGATATGTAGAAGTGATGTAAAAATATGTATTGGTAATGCATGAATAAACTATTTTGAATCGCTGAGATTCGTAGTAAAATTCTCTGTACCTCTTTCTCTCTCAAATAACTGAAACGAACACTTCTCAACTAGATTGATTTATTGGATATTTATTTAAGACATATAAACAAATGCAAACTTTTGAACTAGCTGATGGTTAATTCATTCATAGTTGTATATGGTGAAATCGGTTTGTATTAAATACTCAAGTAATAAAACGACATGTGAAATCGGAGGCAGACGGAAAGCGAGGCAAGTAGAGACCAAGATCGGGGACAGCAACTACGGTTGACACCGAGAAGACCCCGAAGGGAATATTGCTAATGAAGACAAACGAATATTTGCTAAGGGCGGATTTATAGTTCAACAAATGGGGCACGTGAACTCATGGTCTTTCCGCCAAACTAGATATTTCATGTACATATATTTTATAATTGATCTAATATTGTCTGCTAGCACCCATGCTTCAAAGAAGCTAAATGGTGCACTTGGTTGAATGCTAAGTTATTTATCTAGGGGAGTAGGTATCAATTCTCACTTAATACTTTTTTTTTCTCCTTTCTTTAGTGGTGCACCCATGTTATAAGAATCCTAGATCTGCCTTTGATGTTTGTCACCCGATGATATTTAATGAATAATATTCTTTAATATTAAATACACAATCCGTTATAGAAAATTTGTCATTCATGGCCTCCCATTACACATTCATCAATGGCCCCCATAATTGTCATTTAGAGGTGCTTGATCCTAGATGCAATTATAAATAGTGATTTCAACAACCATCGTAAAGGACACCAATTTTCTGACAAACTTATGCTACATACTATTCAAAAGCTCAATAATACTTTATTTCCTGTCTATTGATATTCTTATTACTGCCTTCGGAAACTCTACTCCTGGAACCAAGTATTTGCTGTCTTATCTCGATTTCGACGCTATGTCTTGCATTTTATTTAATTTATTTATCATTTTGGGGTCAAATCGATTCTCTTGTATATAAACCACATTACAAATTTAACAGTACCGTTTTACGGGTAAACAGTTTGGCACCCACCGTGGGGCTTAGACAATTGCGTAATTGAGTTGATCCTTGCATCTATTATTAACCTAATTAATTCATTATTTCTTAGCAAAAAATCGTAAAAAATGGTGGATAACGATGTCAACATCACACACAATGTTGAGGCCCAAGGAAATCAGCCTCAACACAAAAATTCGATCAGTGATACCAGCAACGAAGAAGATATAGCCACGCCAGTCCATGGCGAGCAATAACCACGACACATTCGGGAGGCAACTCCTTATGATGCTGAAAAAGAGCACATTGCGGAAACAGTGAGAATCCTGAGGAAACAACAAAAGGTTATTATGGATCATCTCTTGCGACAAGATCAGGTCATGACTGAGTTGAGGCAAGCGTTATTGGATGCTTCCAACAATGCGAATGGAAGAGGTCCAGTTCCTCCCGGTGCTCCCCAAACCAAACAGCACAAAGGGTTAATAACAACAGCCTGAGGGATGAAATCGGCTCCGACGGAGCCGGGGGGAACGACGACAGATCTGGTAATAATAATGGGAATGATCCCTTTAAAACCGAACTCATGCGGTTTATGAGGGAAATAAACGCCCGAAAGACCAAATCCGAGGTGCACCGCCAATGTTGAAAGGACCGAACTCAAAGAAATACACCCAGTTACCGTTCAAACTGAGCGCAGCACCGGAGTTAATCCCAAAGCGATTCAAAATTCCAGATGCGCCAAAATATGACGGGACTTCGAAATCCCAGGAGCACATCACCACCTACACAATGGCGGTGAAAGGAAACAACTTAGCTCCTCATGAGATTGAGTCAGTCTTGCTGAAGAAGTTCAGGGAGACCCTCACGAAAAGGGCCCTGATATGGTATTCATTTATACCTGAGCACCTAATAGATTTATTTGAGATGCTCACGGATTCTTTTATCAAGGCCCATGTCAAGGCTAGGAAGATTCAAGCCCAAAAGGCCGATATATTTAGAATTGCGTAAGGAGAGTCTGAATTGCTGCGAGAGTTTGTGACTAGATTCCAGAAGCAAAGGATGTTGCGACCGGACATGTCAGATGAATAGGCAGCTGAGGCATTTACTAAGGGGTTGAACCCGAGGAGCTCTGACGCTTCTTAGAAACTGAAAGAAAGTCTGCTCGAGTTCCAGGCAACGACATGGGCTGATGTTTGCAACCGCTACGAATCAAAGATAAGAATAGAGGATGGCCAAATCGATTTTTCGGCATCAACCAAGGGTTAAGACCGAGAAAAGAATAAGAAAAAGTTGAAGGATGATTTCGACACAGATCGACGGTCTTCTAAAGGCCGGTTTTTGCCCTATGAAAGGGCCGAAGGATGCGACAGAGGTTTTCGATCGACAAACATGTTTGCTACCGATAGGAGAGTCGACCGTGGCCGAAATAACAGATCATTGCAGGACAAAAAGACGTCAGGCTCCAGGGACTCCACCTATCCCAAACTATCCGAGTACAATTTCAATGTCAGTATGGTAGAACCGGTATCGGCGATGAGGAACATTAAGGAAGCACGGTTCTCGAGGCTAATGAGATCTGATCCCAGCCAGAGGAGGTGGCGACATTGCTGAAAAATGGCATCCTCCGAGAGTTCTTAAGCGACCGGGATAAAAATAACTACGACCGCAACCGGGATAACGCGAAGCCCTCAAAGACGGGGGAAGATCCTCCTCGTCTAACAATCAACATGATTTTTGGAGGGAACGAGATTAATAGTGTAACCTTTTTAGCAGCAAAAAGACAAAAGGTATCAGTGACCCATAGAAAAAGACTCAGGGAAGTTTTCGAGGACGATATCACCTTCACGGAAGAGGACACCATTGGACTCCTACTATCTCACAACGATGCCCTGGTAATTTCTCCTAATGTTTTGGATTTTATAATTAAACGTGTTTTGGTGTACCCATGGAGTTCAGCCAATATTATCCAATGGAGAGTCAAGCCAAGCTTACGGGAAGTATCATTCTGGCTACAAAGCTCCTCGTCGGGTTCAACTTAGCAAGTGTGACAACCTGAGGGGAGATCCTGCTGTCCACAAATGCCGAAGGGGTCATGAAGACAACCATGTTTGAAGTAGTAGACGGCGACATGGGCTACAACATTATTCTTGGAAGACCATGGCTGTACGAGATGAAGGTTGTGCCATCAACATACCATCAACTTCTGAAATTACCAACTCCAGAGAAAATTAAGCAAATAAGAGGAGATCAATCGGCAGCGAGGGAGATCAACGCGATCTCGATTTCCAGTAGTAAAGGGAAGGAACATGCGACATAGTAATTACAGGAACCGACGCCTGCTCACGTGCCAAAAAAAGTCGACAAAGGGGAGAGCCGTAGGAATCCTATCAGGTACCAAGGTATTTCCAAGTACGAGAAGAAACCAAATCCACAGCGGAAGAACTCGAACAAGTCGCATTGTTCGAGAAGTTTTTGGAGAGGAAAATCCACTTAGGGACAGGAGTAAATCTTGAGTTCAGGTAAGGATTTATAGAATTTCTTAAATTTAATATTGATTGTTTTACGTGGTAGTATGCGGATATGATAGGTATCCTTCTATAGGTGGTCGTGCACAAGTTAAGCCTGGATCCAAACATCCCTACGGTAAGGCAGAAGAAACGCCCTATT